ATTTCCCCTTTGGAAATGCACTCAATAGAGCGAAATATCCTCTGACAGCTAAGACAACTGTTGATTTTGTTAAATATGTATGAGTAAAAGAGAACAGCGTTCATATTGTCCACATAAGATGTTTTAGTTGGCTCTCCCATTTGTTAATGTCATATTACTTGTGTGGCCCTGTCCACCTCTCCACTAGACGAACAAAACATCACTTCATACCCCTTTGTCTAAGGCTCTGTGATGGGCGCTCTCCCAATCACAACTAAAACAGGCATCAATGGAAGCGCCAAGCAACAGGAGCGCCATGAGTACAAAGCAACATATAATTCTAAAAACCTCAAGCAAACCTCAAAATATACAAACATTACCATAACTTAATAAATACCTTAAGAAAATGGCAATTACGACAATAAAAGTGTTGCCAGATGTTTATTAAATATAATTCAATAAAATATCTTTTAAAGTGCATTAATCTATGTATATAACAAATATTTTCCTTTTCCCATTTCAGGTATGATTCGAAATTTTCAGATAAATAATAAAAAGGTAGGTCCACTCCAGTGTTATTAGATATTTTTCTAATATATCGCCAAATCAAATGTGAGAAATCGCCTAACCAAAAATTACTCTAGTTTATTCTAAAAATTATACCACATTTGTATTTCTTTAAATATAATTTATAATTCAATTATTAGAGGGAAATTTATATTTACTATAAACTAATTAGGTGCAAGTATATCAAATTCGGTGAAAATCGGTTTATTTAAAGCTATGGTACCCATATAGATTGTTCATCCAATTTTTTTTTTTAAATTAGTCCTCCACAACCGTAATATGCACTCCGTAACAACGATGTTTGGGGGAAAATATCATATACAGCTCAGAAATACCTTCGACAAATTTTATCGAGATCGGTTCAGATTTGGATATAGCTCCCATATATGTCTTTATCCGATTTCAAGTTAATTGTGCCCCAAATGGGTAATACAAGCCCGAATTGAAAAGGAACAAATGCCTAAACAAATTCTGTAAAACTCGATTCAGAGAAGGATATTCCTCTCATATATTAGTTCCCTTGGACTTTATAACTTTAATCATAGTTGTATTTGTTATGTGAAGAACAAAGGCCTAAAATGGTAAAGACTAAACAAAATGCCTTGTGAACAAATTGTTTGTATCTATACTATATAAAATAACAGTAATGACAAATAAAAGATTGAATAATCCAAAAAATTGGTTTCAAAATTATGTTCCATACTATGGAGGGTATATTAATTTTGTCATTCCGATTGTAACTCCTCGAAACACTCATGTCAGACCCAACAAAGTATATATATTTTTGATCAGCGTAAAATTCTAAGACGATTTAGCCATGTCCGTCTATCTGTCTGTGTGTCTGTCTGTCTGTCCGTCTGTTGTAATCACGCTATCTTTCGAACAAATTGAGATAGAAGGCTAAAATTTTGGACACATGTATATTTTGCCAGTAGGCAGGTTAAGTTCGTAAATGGGCCATGTAGGTCCAAGTTATCATATAGCCCCCATATAACGGTACCTCCCGATATTCGGTATTTTGATGATTTTAGCGACATTATTCACCGGAATTGCTTCGAATTTGGCATTTGAAGTTCGTAATGGATACTACAGCCTAAGACCGAAAATTATCTGTGCAGGTTCACGTCTTCGTATAGCCCCCATATAACGGTACCCCCCCGATATTCGGTATTTTGATGATTTTAGCAACATTATTTACCGGAATCGTTTTAAATTTGGTATTTGAAGTTCGTAATGGATACTACATCCTAAGTCAAAAAATTAACCATGTAGGTCCACGTCTTCATATAGGACCCATATAACGGTACCCCCCGATATTCGGTATTTTGATGATTTTAGCGACATTATTTAACGGAATCTTTCCAAATTTGGTATTTGAAGTTCGTAATAGATAGTGCAGCATAAAACAGATAATAAGCCATGTAGGTCCACGTCTTCGTATAGCCCCCATATACCATACCCCCGATATTCGGTATTTTGATGATTTTAGCGACATTATTTACCGGAATTGTTTCAAATTTCGCATGTGAAGTTCGTAATAGATACTTCATCCCATGCCAGAAAATTGTCTGTGCAGGTCCACGTCTTCGTATAGCCCCCATATAACAGTACCCCCTATATTCGGTATTTTGATGATTTTAGCTACATTATAAACAGATTTTTCTTCAAGTTTCGCCTTTAAATATTGTAATAACTTATGACAAAAGTTGCCTATGAAGGTCCACGTCGTCGAATAGGCATTCGGTATTTTTAAGATTTTAACAGAATTTTTAACGGATTTTATTATTATTATTATTTTTTTTTTTTTGGAAATTGCCAAATTTGTGCCAAGTGGTGGAGGGTATTAAAAGGTCGGTCCGGCCGAACTTACAGCTTTTTTACTTGTTTTTGTTTTCTGTTTTGTTCATATTGTTTGAATTGTTTCTCTTTGTCGTAAATGTTTTGAGTTGGCCTGAAAGAATTACGTTATTATTTATTTTAAGTGATTGATTGCTCGCGAAATGATTGATTACTCGCGAAAAGGCATTCCAAAACCACAAATTGCATCTTAATCCGCAACCTTGTTTTGGAAGAATTCACAATGGAAAATGCCCTTCCCAAGCAGGCATAACTAGTTCAAATAACTACCGTATTCAGAACAGCTAGTGATAATTCTTTAAAGTGGTGTGTATCTGCCGTATCACGGTAATCATAAACTTTCGGCTAAAAATCGCGTAAATTTGTTGGAATTTCATTGTTAAAATATTGATTCCAATTTATAAATTGTAATTCCGCTGCTGAGTTTTATACACATCTAATAAAATGCTTAGATCCATACACTTATTTATGATTTCTTGGACAACCACAAATTTAGTTTGTGATAATTGAGTGCCACATTATAAAACTGATAATGGTGCATAAACCCTGAAAACATTAATATTTTCCGAAAATCTTTTTATCTTCTCTTTAAAAAGGTATATTTTTTCTGCATCCATTTCCATCTTGCATAGTTCGTCTAGAGGCAGAAAACAATTGGATTTGTCAATGACAGTGCTTAGTTCATCTATCTTCATTTTTCACATTTTGCCCTTTATCTAAAACTGGAGGTTTAAAAAATTTTGATACAAGGCGTAGAAAAAAATTTTTCGTGAATATTTCCTACATCCATGTTGTCAGATTTAAATTTCAAGTTTAAATGATTCATTTCATATATTATAGTGCTTGCAAATATTAAAAAAAATCTGTTTTTATTTTTATTGAAGAATTAATTATAAATATTTTGGGCCGTTATGTCCTTTTCGTAGGAAGATATTATTGAGCAATCGTACTTCAGCTGTACTCACTACTCCAAAATCTAAAATTGTGCTATCATTCCAGCGTCATGCTCCGAATGTTCAATCCTACCTTTTTATACCCTCAGCCATATGGCTAGAGTGGTTATATATAATTTGATACGGCCAAAACGTGCCTCATCGGAATAACGGTTCTGGTCCAAACTTAGTAAATCGAAATTTTATTATCAAACTTACATCGAGTTAGGAGGCAATGAGAGCCACTCATATTCAAAATTTTGATTCTTTGTAGGGGAGGTACCAGAAAGAATGTTCCGATCTCTATAACAGATCTTGTGTTGGTAGAAATATTAATATATGCCAAGTCCGAAAGTTAATTTCGCGTTTTATGAGCACCATGGGTATTCAAAAATTTGACCCTTTATGGGGGAGGTATCACAGGGAATGGACCGATACATCCCATCTACATAGCACATCTTATGTTAGTAGAAATAATGGGATGTGTGAAATATGAAGAGAACCGGATACTTATTTCGAATTTTACGATCGTTTTCATTATTCAAAATTTGTACCCTTTGTGAGGGTATCTTCACACCAGACCTTGGATCAATAAAAATATTGTGATGAGTGAAATATTTTTTTACATTTACGGATTTTACAATCGTTTTGGTTATTCAAAATGTTGACCCTTTGTGAAGGAGGTACAACGATGAATAGTTCGACCTCTACCATCTTTATAACAGATCTTGTGTTGATAGAAATATTAACATGTACCAAGTCTGAATGCAATCTGATGTTAATTTCGCGACCTTGGGTTAGTGAAAATATTGTAATGTGTGTAATTTGAAGACAATCGGAGTTAAAATTATTCAAAATTTTGACCCTTTGTGGGGGAGGTACTTGATTGAGTGGACCGACGTTGTCCATTTTCTCACTTGACCTTGCACTGATGCAAATATTAGGAGTTTAATCGGATTATCCTTTCACTTTCTGTGAAGCAAAATATATATATTTTTTTTTTTTTTGAAAAATTAGACTTTTTGTGGGGGAGGTACCAAAAGGAGTTTACCGATATTGCCCATCTCCGAACTCGATAATATTACAATGTATTTTGGACCAAATCGGATACTCGCTTCGAGAGTTATAGTGTGCTCCAGCCAGACGGACAGACATCGGCCGGACGCACACTGCTAGATCGATGGTAAGAGTTCCCTGCCCTTGTGGGGCACTTAAGTTACATTTAACATATCTGCATAGATTAAAAGCTAGGCGAGTTCACACATACTGTATTTTGGAGAGGCAATAGTCCAGATAACTAATACATCCACTTTGATTTGAAGTCTTTAGTTGAGTATGGAATCCCAATTATTCCCTTACACACTGGCAACGCCACAATCATCCATTCATTTGTTGGTTCATTTGACTCGCACTTCATTGTTGTTGTTGTTGGTGCTGATTTTGTGGCGCGCGTGTGTTGTTTTTGGTTTGTTGTTGCATGAGAATGAATCTCAGAATGTAGTGGTATTGGTGTATTTCCACTTCTCCTTCAGTATCTGTGTGTGAGGAGATTAGCTATCGTTGGTGTCCGAGCGCAAACGACCCACCATCATCGCTCACTCGCTCGATTGCTTGCTGGCTTGCTTGCCAGCCTAGCTCGACGACTCAATGTTCAATGTGCGCCTGCTACTCATTTTCAGTCCGGTTTTGGATTTGTCAACGATCGCAGCCAGGCTGTCCAACCAGAAAATTTAAACTGTTTGTTGTGTGTCGTGGTTTTACGCTCGTCGTTCCCTAGCAGGCTGCCTTGTCGGTTGCGTTTATTTGTTCGGCGATTTTTGTTGTCAACAGTTATCTTGCTCTGACGGTTGGTTTTTCACGCAGTCACTCTGTCAGCCATTCCCTTGCGAAGAAAACTCAAGTTTTAACAGAACGCCGATTTTTACCGCCGTTTGTTGCATTGCGCGATAGATAACAGCTACAACGTTTCCGAGTGGTGTGTGCAATTTTATTTTCGAATATCACCTACCGACGGCCAATGTTTTTGTTTTGATATTTCCAAGATTATCCCAGTGTGGTTTAAAATAAATCTATTTGAATTTCTGAATTGGTAACGAATTTGAAAACCCACCAAGTGTTCGGAGTTGTTTTTATTTTTCGATTATCAAGGCTTGACAACAGAATTGTGCAGTGGTGTATTCGGAGTGGACTTTGAATATTTTTGCATTTCTTTGCCATCCACCCGTATGATAAAGAAAATTGAATAAAAAAGGTGACAACGAAGAAGAAGAAGCATAAATTATTTAAATTGAAATAATTATTAATGCATATGTGACACATCTTTGGCGAAAATATATTTCAACGTGCAGATACGACATACATACCTATTACCTATCCGATAATTCTTATTTTGAAATTACTGAAAAAAAAAGAGAATTGAAAACATTCAGCCCTGCTCTGCCAATGTGATAAGAAATTAAACGTAATTAAATTTGTGGAAAAAGAACAACAACAACAACAGCAATATAAAAATTTACGATTACGATCGATTGAAGACAAACACATCGATCCAACAAAAAACAACTACAGCCAGCTAGCCAACAAGTAAGACTTTAAATTAATTTACTTGGATTTTTTAGATTTTATTTACGACAGCAAATGTATATGTTCTCGGAATTTCGCAACGTAATATTGAATAACACAATGTTTAAAACTATTTTTATTTTCAATGTCAAAATAGTTTGGCCATTTGCGAACAATCTGCAAATCGCTGAAATGATTTGTTATAAAAATGAATAAATTTATAATATTGATGTACCTATATTTGAAGCATTCGGACCCAATCAAAACGGTCTTTCAATGTTTAAATCTTATATACTTTAATTGTGATTGGTTACATTAATACCATACCGAAGTCGACTAAATTAAGACAGCGATCCTTAATCAGTAATTCGAAGGAATTTTTACGATCGTTCTACCTCCCACTGTGAAAAATATTAACAGGTACAGTTTAGAAAATATTAACAGGTACAGGGTGAGATGAAAAACTGCAACAAAGTCAGACGCCACAACTTTTACATTTTTTGAAATTTTATTGAATTAAAGCAAAATATGTCGGAAACAGCATTTAATTTTAGAGTAAGTTTAGATTTGTTCGAATTGGTCTACTTTGGCACGAATTATGGCCTTCAAACGGCCAATGAAACCATCACACGTTCCCGAATGTTGCTCTGCGGTATTTTGGCCCATTTCCGGCGAAGCGCTTGCTTGAGGTGATCGACACTTTGGTATTTTTTAGTGCCAACCTTGCTTTCCGAAATATTCCAGACACAATAGTCCAACGGATTGGTATCCTGAGATATTGGTGGCCATTGTGCACTGGAAATGGAGCGAGGAACCTCATTTTGTAACCATGGCGATGGTGCTGAGACCTGTTGGAAAGTCCAAGGTCTGCGGCCAAAATGTTTGCATGCCCAAGGCTTTAATACACCCTCCAGAATATTTTCGCGATAATATTCGGCATTTATTCTGATGCCACGGGCGATTAATACGAGCGGAGAGCGACCATCGGCTGTTATGACGGCCCACACCATCACCATGGCCGGCGCTTGAGTTCTGGTGGCCAACCGAAGGTGCACATTTTCAACTGACCTCTTTGGCATGTAAACACGATCATTTTGTTTGTTAACAAACTACTGGACAACGAATGTTTTCTCATCGGAGAAAACCAAATTCGGCAGTTCATTACATACGGCCAAGCGAAACAACTCCTTAGCTCATTTGAGTCTATTTTCTTACTGTTGCGGCGTAAGTTCTTGCCCTTTTTGGAATTTTAATGGCTTTGTCCCGAGCTCATTTTTCAATATTTGCCGAATGGGATATTGCGATATGTTCAGCTCACGAGCCATTTTTCGGCCACTACGACGCGGGTTTGGATCAAGTCGCTTCTTTACTTTTCGAACCATTTCAGCTGATGTTGCTGTTTGCTACCAGTATCACGGTAACGAGCGATGATACGAGACAACAGAAAACATTTATTCACATTTAAATGCTGGAGTGCTCTAACGATAGCCACTTGTGGGTTTCCAGCCAAATATAAAGATATTACACTAACGCGCTTAAATTCCATCACGAATAACTTTTTTCTGGGAAATAGCATCTAATGGCTTTCAAACGTATCAGATATAGTCGATCAAAGTATTCCGATTTTGTACTTCATCTTATGCACATAAAATATTGGTATGGGTAAAATTACTAGAAAATCGAACATTTTTATCCAATTTTATGCAAAACCATAAATCCATACTCATCTCAGGTTTCTGCTTAAGAGAAATTTCAGATGTAGCACGTTGTAAAAAATCGCTGACTTATTTCGCTAGTTATGACAAATAAAAATATTGATCCTTTATGGTTAAGTTACCAGAAGGGGTTCGCAGATGTGTATTATCTTCACAAGGGATCTTGTGTTACCAAAAATGTTTGCATGTGTGAAATTTTAAGAGAGTTGGATGATTATTAATCTTGAATTATATGTGTGGAGCTACCAGGAGAAATTATCCGATCTCTACCATCTTTATAACTGATCTGGTGTTGTTGGAAACATTGAGATGTAGCAAATCTGAATGGAATTGGATATTAATTTCGCGTTTTATGAGCTTCATGTTCATGTTTATTCAAAATTTTGACCCTTTGTGGAGAGGTATCAGAAGGAATGGACAGATATATTCCATCTTCATAGTTAGACTTTGAGTTAATTAAAATATTGTGATATGTGTAATTTGAAGACAATCGGACTCTTACATCACATTTTATAAGAGCTATAATTATTCAAAATTTTGACCCTTTGTAGGGAAGTACTTTATGGAGTGGACCTATATTGTCCATTTCGCACCTAACCTAGCAGTAATACAAATATTAGGGAGGGTATTAAAAGTTCGGGCCGCCCGAACTTAGCTGTTTTTTTATACCCTCCACCTTGGAAAGGAGGGTATATTAACTTTGTCATTCCGTTTGTAACATCCTTAAATATTCGCCGTAGACCCCATAAAGTATATATATTCATAATCAGCATAAAATTCTAAGTCGGTTTAACGGTGTCCGTCTGTCTGTCTGTTGAAATCTCGATACAGCCCACATTATTTGACGTAGAGCGCCAAAATTTAGCAGAGCTATTTGTATTGTGTCTAGGATGGTTGGTATTGTGCGTGTGGCAATAAAGGTAACTCCCGATATTCGGTATTTTAATTTGTTTGCCACATTTTTTCACGGATTAGTCTAAAAATTGGTATTTGTTGGTTATAATGGGTTCCAGCTCCGGTGGCGAAACATTGCATGTATGGGTCCATGATTTGGTGTAGCCCCCATATAACTCCCAATATTCGGTATTTTGATGGTTTTTGCCACATTTTTTCACTGATTTGTCTAAAAACTGGTATTTGTGGGTCATAATGGGTTCCAGTTCGTGTGGCGGAACATTGTATGTATAGGTCCACGTTTTGATATAGTCCCTATATAACCCAATATTCAGTATTTTGATGATTTTTGACACATTTTTTCAAGAATTACTCTGAAAATTGGTAGTTGTAGATCATAATGGGTCCCAGTTCGTGTGGCGAGTCATTGTAATTATAGGTCCACGTTTGGGTATAGCCCCATATAACGGTACCTCCCGACATTCGGTAATTTGATGATTTTTGCCACACTTTTTCACGGATTTGTCTGAAAATTTGTATTTGTAGTCATAATGGGTTCTAGCTCCGTTGGCGAAACATTGTATGTATAGGTCCATGATTTGATATAGCCCCCATATAACGGTACCTGCCGATATTCGGTATTTTGATGGTTTTTGCCACATTTCTTCTAATGTTTCCTTTACCCTAAGTTGGAGGGTATTAAAAGTTCGGGCCGCCCGAACTTAACTGCTTTTTTACTTATTTTATTTGTATCGACTACTGTTACAAAACCTCAAACTGCCTCATCTTGCAATTATAAGTCGTAAAAAAAACATTCCATTTTCTTATAATCCCCGCAATATATGTAACCTATTTTTCCTTCCATCTTTATTTTCATATTTCTTTTTTTCTACTTTGGCGGACAGCTTATGTCTGTGCCTCAATTATTTTCATAAATCGATTTATAATGTGTCATATTTCCCGCTCTTTCTGCCTTCCCGCGCTTCTTACATAATTAATGTAAACACCAACTTCTTTGGACTGATAAGAAGCGTCGTTCTTTCACAAATTTTCCATTTTATTTAAATTCAAATCTCAAGTGGTTTTGTGTTGAAGCCGTAAAATACATATTTCACAGATGATGATGATGATGCAAACATGCAACTGCATTGGACGATCACTGCTCAACGTGTTAACCCATAAAGGGAAATCTTCTTATCAGCAACTCAACATCGTTGCAACTCAAAATTATCGATGCAGTAGTTCAACATTTCTATTGGCATCTCCAAAATAAAATAAAAAAATTATGAGATAATTTTTGTTGTTCATTGTTTGTCGTGGACAAAAAAAAACTGAAGAAATATGGCTACTATAATCGAATATAGACATAGATTACCAGTGGATTCAGAATGTTAATACACAATGTTTAGCATTCTGAATGTAATTCTGATAGAGTTAGATAAAGATGTATTTAGTGATCATTTTTTCGACAAATCGGATCCCCATTATGTTTTTATACCCTCAGCCATATAGGGAGGGTATACATCATTTGATACGGCCAAAACGAGTCTCATCGTAAAAACGATTTTAGACAATAAGTCTCATTGGATGAATTCCGTTTCAGGGCATTTGGAGTCGATCTAGCGATGTCCGCCCGCTGCTGCGCACGATAACACTCGAAGTGAGTATCCGATTTGGCCCAAACCTGGTACATTGCAATTATTCTTGATCAGCATAACATTCTAAGATGATTTAGCACTTCCCATCCGTCTGACTGTCTGTTGTAATCACGTTAGGGTCAAAACGAATTAAAAGTTCGAAATCGGTATATATCGTATAGCCCCCATATAACGGTACCCCCCGATATTCGCTATTTTGACGATCGTAGCCAAATTTTTCAATGGAGTTGTTTGAAATTCTAGACAAGAAGTTCTTTGTGAGTACTTTACTCCCTGGAAGAAAATTGTTTATATAGGTCCAGGATATCGAATAGCCCCCATACAATGGTACTCCCCGATATTTGCTAATTTAATGATATTATTTACATTATATTGTTTTAAATTTCGTATTTAAAGATCGTAATGGGTACTGCAATCTATGACAAAAATTGCGCGTATAGCCCCCATATAATGGTACCTCCCGATATTCGGTATTTGGATGATTTTAGGGACATTATTCACTGGAATTGTTTCAAATTTCGTATTTGAAGTTCGAAATGGGTACTACAAGCTATAACAGAAAATTGTGTATGTAGACCACATATAACGGCACCACATATAAGGTCCGCAATATCGTATATTCCCCATATAACGATACCTCCCGATATTCGGTATTTTCATGATTTTGGCGACATTATTATTCGGAATTGTTTCAAATTTCGTATTTCTGATTGGTAATGGAAACTACTGCTTATGACAAAATTGTATATGCAGG